CTTCTTCTTCTTCTTCTTCTTCTTCTTCTTCTTCTTCTTCTTCTTCTTCTTCTAATTATTTTCATTACTTAGCTTACATCATGAGTGCCATTGTCCTCTACAGTACGTCAGGCGTGTGGAAGTTGTCTGACCAGGTGGACGAGTGGCTGAGGCTCGGTGCCACCTGGCTGGGCGGATGTTGTCACATCTACAGCTCGGACATCGCTGAGATGAGACGGGCGCTGGAGCAGCGGGCGGATGTTTCCCTCCTCGCCACGGCAGATCGGCTTGTGTAATGATACATGCGTGTGTTTGTGTGAGTTATGATGCGATGGAGTTAGCCACTGATCAGTTTTTGGGTATTTATGGAAAGAAGGAAAATTGGTCAGTCTTCTTGGTGTGTGTGTGTTACGATGCATTGGTATCTGCTGCTCGTCAATTTTGGGGTATTTTTGTAGTCATCGGTTTCCTGGTTTCTTTGATTTTATTATTTTGACGAACCTTTGATTTTACCATGATGCTGCATATTTTAGTCACAATATGGCGGAATCAAGCGCTTATCAATTTTTTGGCATAAAAAGATATTAATATCATCTTTTAGTTTGTTCATGATTTGAAGAATAAATATCCATCTATCTAGAATAGAAGTCGAGATATCTGTAATTGGAGGAGATGGGGATTGCCTAGTATTGAGGTAAAATTAACGAGGAAAAAATGAACACTTGATTTCGTCATGATGCCACACATATCATTTCGTTTTTAGGCTCGAGTGGAGCGCAATAGATTTGGAATTGTCTAAGACAATTGTTGAGGAGAAAAGTGGTTGCCTTAGACCGGTGGACGCTCTGAATGGTTTATTTATAATATAGAAAAGAAAATGAAAGGATGGGGAAAATGGGAAGAGGTTGTTTGTGCAGACGATTGTCTTGGACAGGTGGCTGTTAGAACAGGCTCGACTATATAGCTGTATGCTCCTAACTGGCTGTAGCATTGCATGTCTCTTGAGTTCTTTTAATCTGAATATATCATATCCGGGACCAATGACTGCCTTGAAGGTGTTTAAATTAAGCCTTCAAGGGGTTATTCAACAATGAGTAAACCTTTATTTGTTTACTATATTTTTTCGTTTTGTTTGTGTCATTATGTAAAACAGAATTTTATTTCTTTTGTGAAGATTTTATAAATGTCCTTGTACATGCTCCCTTTTCTTGGTTGGATTTGTAAACAAGGACAAAAAGCATGAAAGGGTTCTAACCCCGTTTTTGGGGAGAACTGAGATACACACTACACACTGCTGACACACTACACATTGCTAACTTTTTACTACTGACACAGATGCCCTGCACACTGTGTTGTATTGAGAAATGATTTGACCTGTATTTTTTTGTTAGAAAAATAATTAACAATTAACCCAGAACTTCCCCCAATGTGTCCTTTGTGTGACTATGCATATGAGACAGTGGAACACCTTTTCCACTGTACAGCCCTAAATGACATCAGAGCTACCCTTCTCCCTCCGAGACCTAACTTCGACAACACACTCTACGGAACATTACAGCAACTGCAGCAAACCTGCACTTATCACTACATGGCATTGGACAGAAGGGCGAGAGCCCTGATGTTGCTGGATCGATAACAACAACAACAGCAACTTGTAAAAACATGATAGTTGCTAGTATGTGAGTCTTTGAATCCAACTTTCTCAAAACTCTGCTTCATTGAGTGAGAACCTTGTCATTCTGAGGGCGTCAGTTTGATTCACAAAAATAATATTGTGTCACAATGCGGTGAAATCAGGCTCTCGTCAATTTCTGGGCATTTGAAATTTTTAGTATAACTTTAAAGCTTTTTTCTTTGCCTTGATCTTGCTTTTGATGAAAAAGTACCCATAAATCTCGAATAAAAGCTAGAATACTAGCAATTGGAGGAGGTAGGGCTCACTTGGTGTAAGAGGTAAAATTAGTGGAGAAAATGTCTGCTTAAGTTTAACTACAAATTTACTTTTTTTATGCCTTTGGTCAACTTTCTTCAGTGAAATCCACATGTGAATGTATATATGATATATGTGAGGCGTCGTGGTGAAATCAGGCGCTCGTCAAAATAATGATATCAAAGAAATCTGCATTTTTTGGCCGATGGGCTTTTTCTATTGGGGGGAGCTCAAGTCAATTTATAAACATATTTTTGTGTTGATTTTAGTGAAAAACATTGATTAAAGTACATTTTCAATTTAGAGACTCTCAGGCCATTAAAGTTACCAAACTTTGGTGGCCATTTTCTCACTAATTTTACGTCTTAAACCAAAACACCCTGACCTTCTCCTTCAATCGCAAATATTTCGACTTCTATTCAACTTAAATGGGTATTTTTTTCCCCAAAAGGGAGACAACAAATGAACAGGCTTTAAGATGATACCAATATCCCCAAATGCCAAAACATTGACGAGCGCCTGATTGCATCACATCATGACACATATATGTGTGTGTAAACTCAGGGCTATGTTAATATTCCTATGTGTTTTGCGTGTTTGGTGTAGTGGCCAGACGCTTTAGCATCGTATACTGAAGACCCGAGTTTGATTCCTATGTTGGGTTTTTATCTAGTCTAGTCTCTCAGTCTTTCTGCTCGGACATTGTATCCCTAACTATTGTTGACTTTTTATTTGCGGAGAGGGGGGGAGGGGGGGAGGGGGGAGGGGTGGGGGCTGGGGTTGTGAGGAGAGGAATTCGGGTTGGCACTAGAAGGGGAGGGGGGGGGACGGGTGGGGGGGGGGGTTAGATTGCCAGAAAGGAAGGGGGAATGGGTTGACTGCTGATGGAGTTGTGTTTATTTTCATAAAAAGTCATGTTCCAAGTTTTACGGTATTGCATTGCTCACTGAATCTTTATTATACTCGTATCGGGTAAAGTTGTGTTTGTTGCCAGTAAAAATAAGAATTGATATACATATATATGCTGAGCTTTCCTCTCATATGTTTATTTTTAGTGTATGGCTTTAAAGATAGCATTCCTTTCTTTCTGGTGATTTTGATTTAATTTACATGATCTCATTGTGAGTGCAAGACTTATAACATAGAATTTTATTTTTAAAGATATATTTTTTTTCATTGTCCAGATGCAGGGACCCTGATGTGGTGATTCACCACACCCACATATCTACCCATGAACATGCACATGCACGCACACATACACACACACACACACACACACATACCCACACAGATACATGCACCCGCTCATTACCCCCCCCCCCCCACCCCGCTCCCCTGCCTGCCACTCATACACACTTACTCTCTCACACATATGCACACACACTCACACATGCATACACACAGATGCATACACAAACACATACACAAACACTCACATGCACTCACACACATACATACACATGCATACCACACATACTCTTTCATTTACTTGTACTTCCTCTCTTCTACGCAGATATCTACCACTTAGTGAAAGACTCGTCCATGTGCCATTTTTAAAAGTGACGTACACCTAACACACTATTGATATATTATGCTTATACGTGTACTTATGTTGTCAGTCGTGCTTTCATTGAACATTGAACATGAGCTACATGTTTGTAATTGTTTTAGCATAACATCTGGCATCAGTGGGTGGTTGGCAGGTGCTTTTGTGTGGTTTGCTCCTTCTTTCCTATCAAACATCTATCGTCCTTATCTCGCCTCCTTCTTTTTTTGTGTTTGATTCTCTCTTGTTGGCCACCCTACCACAATATGCCGAAGGCCCAGGAAGTTGTTTCACTAACGAGGCAATCCCCAATGTCCGGATCGGATGCGGGAACAACTTTACTTTTTACTTTACTCTCTTGTTACACCTCTAATCTTGTGCACTTGTATGACCATATTGTGTTATAAGTGCCGTGAAACTGTTATAGAAACAAAAAACACATCAGTTGTATTGGAAAATGTGTGCCATAAAGAATTACATTGCACTATTGCACATTGTCACGCCGCTGTAGAATCGGGCGCTCGTCAATTTTTATGCATTGGAGCTATTTGTATCGTTTAAAGTAAACTATGTTCATTTTTCTTGCATTTGATAAAAAAAAATATCCATTTATTTTGAAAAGAAATCGAGATATTTTTTTATTAAAGGAAGGTGAGAGTAGCCTGGTATCAGAGGCAAAATTAGTGAGAAAATGGCCGCCAAAGTTTGGTGACTTACAAAGTTGCAGTGTCCTTGGAAACTGTAAATTTACGTTTGTGTGCCTTTGACCAACGTCTTTAAGTAAGCTTCCCACAGAAATGTGTTTTGAAATGGGCATTAAAGGTGTTGAGGCAAAAAAAAAAGCAAAAATTGATGAAAATTGCCCAAGTTGCGGAAAAATGCCTATTTCTTTAATTTTATTGTTCTGAGGACCATCTGATTTTGCCATGATGATACATCGCAGGTTGAGAGTTCTGAATGGGAAAGCTAGCCCACCATGATCATATCTGTAATTTGTTTAATTAATCAGAGAAAATAAATACTGAAATCCTTTGCCTGTTCTTTTATTTTGTTTTATGCAAAACACATCCGACTCTTTGGATTCACAGACTTGGTGGTCCCACTGCTGCTTTTTCTTTCCCCATCCTAATTACTACATGTATCAGGCACTTTTGGTGAAAATTACACAACCCTAGTTATATTATCGTCATTTTTCTTCTACTTCTTTTGTACGTTTGTCACTCTCTTGTGAACTGCTATTTTCGGGGTGCCTTGATAGTCGAAGCAGACTTTGTGCTGTTGAGACTAGAGAGGTGAGCAGAGTAAGCCTGGTTCCCCGTTTGGACTTCTCTGTTGACATCCACCCCTTGGCGCTAATATTTGTCCTCAGACAAAAAGAGAATTTTGCGCCCGCCACCCCCGACTTACGCGCGAAACTTTTGCCCCCAGCGCAACTTTTACCATTTTCTTGAAATCGCGAATTTAAGCCAATTTTCCGTAAAAATTGGGAAATAATAAAATTTTGTATGACCGAAACTTTCTTCTACGACGCCAAAGGGGACAATTCGTAGATCTGCCTGAAATACCACTTCCTTTGTAACCCCCCTCCCCCCCCCCAAGTGCCCATTGCGGATGGGATCGGGTCGGGATGAACGTGTTTGTTTTTGAGGCAACGAGTCAGTCGCGATCGACTTGTGCCACAATAGCTGCTTAGTGACATCAATCTGGTGAACAAACCGACCTATACCCCAATGGTCATGTTTGGACTGATTCATCTTCTAGCTAGATCTAGATCTACAGAAAATCAGTTGTAAACACGATCGTCTGATTGCTTAGCTTGCTTGGTTCCGAAGCACCAGGTAAATAGATCTAGTATAAAAATGTGTGAAAGACTTTAAATCTTAGGCTAGTAGGGTAGATATCTAGACATGGATCGATTCATCAAGAAAACCCGTTCAAAATATAAACTTACGCCTGAAAAAATGGGAGGAAGGGGGGGGGGGACTATTTACTGGCTCCTGTAAGAAAAGTGTAAAAAAAAGTTTAGAAAAAGGGGGGGGGGCGGGGGTTGGACCAATGTAATACTACACTTTTGTAAGGTGAAAAAATAGCAAGGAAAATAATTTATGACATTATTTTTTGGGGGTGAACACCCGAGTGGTCAACTTCATTGATTATGAAAAGGCATTTGACATCGTGGACAGGGAGACTCTGTGGAAACTCATGCGGCATTATGGAATACCTGACAAAATCGTTAAGCCTGTGAAGGCCACCTATGATGGAACAAACTGCCAAGTCTTCCACGAAGGACAACTCTCTGAACCATTCCAGATACAGACAGGAGTGCGACAAGGGTGCCTGCTCTTACCTTTTCTCTTCATACTTGCAATTGACTGGATCATGAAGGAAGCCACCAGGGGCAAACGAAATGGAATACAGTGGACCTCTTGGCAGCAGCTGGACGACTTGGATTTCACCGATGACCCTCACTGCTCTCTCACACACATGCTCAGATGCAAGAAAAGACCAAGGAACTCAAAGCCTATCGAGGAGTGTTGGCCTACGTATACACCCGGGCGAGTCGAAAGTATTGAAGCTAGGAAAAGTGTCAAGCCCTGCTGTGACAGTGGAAGACAATCCCCTAGAAGAAGTGGACTCCTTTACCTACCTTGGAAGTGTCATCGGTGGTAAAGGTGAAACTGAGGCAGACGTAAAAGCAAGAACCGCCAAGGCAAGATCAGCATTCAAGCAATTATCAAAAGTCTGGAAAGCAAGCAACATCTCACTGCACACCAAGATTCGACTCTTTAATTCCAATGTCAAGTCTGTACTCCTCTACGGCTGCGAAACTTGGAAGACAACAAAGACAGTGCTGAAAAAAGTCCAGACTTTTATCAACAGGTGTATGAGGAGTATCCTTAGAATTAAGTGGCAGGATAGAATAAGAAATGAAGAGCTATGGGAAAGGACAGGACACACGGATATAGAAGTAGAAATAGGACTAAGAAAATGGCGTTGGATGGAACACACCTTCAGAAAGTCCAGCGGAAACATCACAAGACGGTCACTGCAATTGAACCCACAGGAAGCACGAGGCAGGGGTAGGCAACGAGAGACATGGAGGAGGTGTGTGGAAAGGGACATGAGAGAGATGAAGCTCACTTGGAACGAGCTAGGAAGGATGGCCCAGGATAGAGATAAATGGAATGAGTTTGTATGTGGCCTATACCCTGCCAGGAGTGAAAGGCATTGATGATGATGATGATATATTTTTTTTTAAATAACACATAAAAAGAGAGTTAGCAATAGCCTACTATTCACTTAGAACGGTAAGCACGGCATATGCCGGGGGATACAATAAGTCCTGGAGCGGCAAGCACGAATATATGCCATCTCGCACTTTATACTCTGGTAGTGGTAATCTAAATGTAGTCTAATTTTGAGTGCACCAGTGCGGTTAAAGTGGCAAAATGACACCGTAATTTTTTCCTGAAAAGTTCCGCTTGTATTTAATTATTATGTGTGTATGCATGTTTTTCATGAATATTATGTAAAACGCATAGAACAGTGATTGAAACACGGATTTGCGCAACATAGTGTCATATTATTTTTGTAAGCAAATAATATAATATTACGGGTGGGGGGAGGGTAAGAAAAGTGTAAGGGGAGGGGGCTAAAAGTCCCAAAAGGTGTTCCAAAAAGGTGTAAGATTACATTGAACAACCCAAAACCACAATGGTCACACCTGCCCTATGTTAGCGAGAGTTTAAGGACCGGGCGCATGTGTCAGGGGTCAAACTGTTCTGTACTTGTACATCATGCAACCTCCATTGCAATTTATTTATTTATTTATTTTTTTTGGTAGACATTCACCTTTACTTTTGATTTTCATCTTACTAAACTCATTTTGGTTACTTTGATTGCGTTTACGCATACCAGCAATGTATTCCAATAATTCCATGAAATTTTTTATTTTTTTTTTGCTATAATGTCTTGCAACTTTTCTTGCTACTTTTGCTAATTCTTCTTGCAACTTTTTGCAACGTTTGCTATTTTCAAATGCAACTTTCTCCGGGGACAGTCACATGACCTTATGCAGTTGCGAGCGCCGTAAAAACCTTGCTAAAACTAAACTAAGACTTGATGGTGGTCTCGATAGTCCAGTGGTTAGGCTACATGATTCGTAATCGTGAGGTTGCGGATTCGGGGTTTCTCAGCTCCGCGGACCGACATTGTGTCCTTGGGAAAGGCTCTTTATGCGAATTTCCCTTTCGATCCTTTCAGAGATGGACAATAAAGTGATAGGTCCAGCCTCTTAAATAACCTAATAGTGTTGATAGGGGCGTTAAACCTACGCCATTTTCCCATAATTTGTTTACAGCAAGAATTCCAAACCCAAATTAATCCGGAGGCTACTTGAGGTGGAGTCTGAGTGAACCTGGGCGGCATCAAGTATTTCACAAACAAAACTTTCACGCATTTATTTTAAAAGTGCAACCATGATAGCTTTTTTGAAACTTGTCAACAAACGCCAGCTGAAGATGCCACACGCCTGAGCAAACAGTATAATAATACACGTGATAGTGGCAGAGAGTCGCAGCTCACTTCCTAAATGATCCGTATTAGTATTGTGTCGATTGGGTAAAAAAAACACCCTCCCCCCCAACAAAAAAGCAACAAGCAAACAAAAAACGACACAAAAAAGAACAATGTCAATAAACCAAAAAAAAAAAAAAAATCTACCCCCCCCCCCCCGAAAGCAACATCCCACAAACAACAACTACCTCTCGTCGACTCTTGGATACATCAGAAAAAGGAAAATTGTTTTTTTTCCTTTTGCATTTACTGATGTTATACTTAAGAGACCTACTTGTTTTATATTATTTGTTTAAACAGTTGAAAATGAAGAAGTCAAGACATAAATATATATCTGAAGATTCCATTTAAGACATTTTTATTAACATTCAAATAGTGACCTAAATACAACTGAAGCATTTTTACACTTCTATTAAGGTCAGAACATTTTTTAAAAGGTCTGTTAAACTTCTAAACGGGGGTTCTCGAGGCCAAGAGGTTAAGGCGTTCGCCGCCTCTCATTTAAAGGCCTCGGGTTCGAATCCGGGTTACGATGGAAAATTTTATTCTCTAAAATTATCTCCTTTCACCTCTTTTCCTGCTTTCTTGCAATGATCTGTGGTCTGCGTTCGTCTCCACGTTCTGCCCTCACCCTCTCACCTCCTTTCCCCCCTCCTCTGGGCTCTTTCTGCAGCCTTTCTACTGCTACTCCTTGGCTATTTCTGACTTCTGTCTTTCAGCCACAACCCTGATATTCTTGTAGGAAAGATCTACACCTAACCTTCTTGGACAAGGGCGAAAACACTCGGAGGTCCCGTGTGCAAGTTGCGCCCGTTTTAAAGATCCCTTGGTGGTAAAAAATCGATAAGAGTAGGCTTCGGCCGCCACTCGGGCAAAATTCTAAATTTCCTTACAACTGAAAATGTTTAATGTGTCCCGCGCGCTCATATGACTTTATGCAGTTGCGAGCGCCGTAAAACGCTTACCGAAAATAACCGCCTACATGTATGCCACTTGAATTCTTTAATTATCTTTAAAAACTTGGAAAAATGGGTTATTTAATTTGACTTTGCAGAACGTGCCCTGAAGAGAGAGCCTGGGATATTTGTAAAAAATTGAAAGAAATTCTAGCGAGATGAAAGACAGCACTGTTTAACAAGGTGCATCATGTAGTATATTAAGTTACACATTTACATCACACGTATAGCCTGTTATATTATTTAATCTGTCATGATTAAGTTTGGATAAGTGACATCGAGTAATTTTTTCAGGCGAAGGAAAAAACTGATTTTTTAAAAGGACAGCTTAGAGTTATCCGATTGTTTTCTGCTTTAAAAATTCCACTTTTTGGTTATTTATTTGAATATCAATTTTCAACCAGCATATGAAACAGAACATGTAGAGTACATTTAGTGAAAAAAAAGCAAAACAAAAAATGTAGCTAACCAACCTTATCACGATGGCGACGATATAATATGATATATATATAATATATATATAATAGATATAATATATTATTATATAACATAATATAATATTATATCATATAATAATATGGTGACATTGTCTTACACGGCCACCTTTCAGTGTCGAAGAGAAAAGTGTCCATCTTAGACAAGTAGACACCGTACACAGTGTCATTACAATGTATTTTATTTATGAAGACCCCCCCCCCCCCCAAACAAAAAAACAACTAAAGAGAACAAATAAAATCATGGGAAGTGATCGTAGCTGCAATAAATTGTGGGGGATAGGTAGTCGTTACAGCGAGTCCGAGGACTGTTTGCTTCCCGATGTGGTGCCAGCTGAAGGGCGGTTGGCAGGTGGACTCGGGTTGTCTCCTCTTTCTGTGCTGGTCGCTTCTGTCTTCTCTTCTTCGGTTAAAAATGGTGAGGTGTGGCAGTTGTCATAAAAACCCATCATTATACCCAGTGCACACGGCCAATCGAATAATTGTTGTTTTTCTCTTATTTATTTTTATCTTTCTCTTTTAAGAGGTGTTTTGTTTTTTTAGACATACAATTTACTAGATCTACCAAGTTCACATATTTTGCAAGTAGCCTGGCAAATAGTTACAGGCGCTAAATAGGACACGAAACCTAAACGGAAAAACAAACCCGAAGAATGCATTTAATCAGTTTGGGCTCTTTTAGATTTTGCCTTCATGATGAGGTAAAAGCTGCCATTCTCTCTGGCGCAATTTGACTGAATTCTATTTAATAAGACTGTGACCCTTAACATAATATGTTTGTCAATCAAAGTCTTCAGCCGAATCGGTCGCCAAAGTGGTTGCTTTTGACCGTTGCCTCAACCATAAAGGAACATCTAGTTGGCCCAGACTGCATCCAATGTATCCGACTCGCACTGTGCTCTGGGTGTCAGCTGCTTCCTGTCAGTGACGTCACTTGCAAGTGTCTGGGAGGGGGTCCGGGGGACAGCTGGCGAGCGTTGACTCAACCTGGGGGACAAGGTTTGTGGGTGAGGAAACACAAGGGCATTGTGTGGGTGAGTAAAGTAAAGACAAGGGCACCGTGTGGGTGGTTGGCGGGTGCTCTGGTCTGGTTTGTTTCTCCTATCCCATCAACAAACATCAAGCATCTATCGCTCGTCTTATTTCTCCTCCTCCATTCTTCTTATGTTAACCTCAAGTAAAACCTTTAATTTGTGGCATCAATATAACCTCTTTGTTTGCTAGGGCCGTAAAAATCTTGCTAAAGCTAAAATTGTGATACTCAATGTCAGTGTGTGCCAACCTAGAGGATATTACCCGCATATATATATATTTAATATTTATATATAACAAGCATAGTAAGGAGTCTTGACATCTGCAATCAAATTTGAGAAAAAAGTTTCGTTTCCATGGATACGCCGCCATATTGGATTTTATTGACGTGTCTTACATAATGAATACCGGACTTATCGCTCATGGAAATTGATTGTTTTTTTGCATGCGTGTGCGCAAACATTAGATCTAAAAATTCGTCTGTTGTTTTTTTCCTAATCGAATTAGAAAATTTTTAATGAATTTTTTCCTGAGGTAACATTCAAGTTTGCGAAAAATCCGTGAAAATCCACACTCCAGACACCACCAACAAAAATCTATTCCATATATCAAAAATTCAACAGAAAAATTTTTTAGTATTACCTCTTCTCTTCATTCTGTGAAAATTTCATGAAGATTGGATGAAAAATGGTGGAGTTATTCAAAAAAGTATAGAGAAAAGTAGCATTTTGAGAAAACGGTCGATAAAGGAAAATAATTACCGACTTTATGAGGAAATGGCGGTTACAAACTTGCCCGGTATGGGAAAAAATACGGTTTTTTGGGGGGTTCTTATGCTATGAAATAGTTGTAGGAGAGGCTGAGGAAGCTAAAAATTCCTACAACTCAAATTCCATGATTTTGAGCCGAATTTTGATTTTGGGCCCCCTCCCCCCTAAAAGAGATTGGGTTTGAGTTAAATGCTCAATCGATGAGACAGTCAGCGTTTGAGTTAGACTCTCACTGAGGAAGATAGTTAATTAGAGTTCAAGTTTGACTCAGTGAGTGAACCAGTTTATGTTTGAGATTTCGTTAAGTGATTAATGAGTGGATAACTGTCTCACCCATCCGAAGAAAACACAGGCCGCATTGGCGGCTGACTCCACCATCTCCGCTGAGTAGGGCTTGATCTTTGCGCGTGCGTACTGCGCCTGTTCCGGTGTGACGGTGCTGACGTCAAAGGCATCCACCCTCCGGCTGATAGAGTTCTCTCCCCGCCCACTGAGGACTTTCAGAACGAGGTCCCAGTCCTGAGGAGTGAATGAATGAATGGATGAATGAATAATTGTACTACTACTACTACTACTACTCCTGTTCCTCCTCCTCCTCCTCCCCTCCTCCTCCTCCTCCTCCTCCTACTACTACTACTACTACTACTACTACTACTACTACTACTACTACTACTACTACTACTACTACTACTACTACTGCTGCTGCTGCTGCTGCTGCTGCTGCTGCTGCTGCTACTACTACTACTACGACTACGACTATGACGACTACAACTACTACACCACTACTACTACCACTACTACCACTACCACTACTACTACTACTACCACCACCACCACTACTACTACTACTACTACTACTATTACTACTACTAATAATAATAATAAAATAATAATAATAATGATGATAATAATTAGTAGTAGTAGTAATTTATAATAATAATAAAAATAATAATACTCAAAGAAGAAGAATTTGCGCGAAGCTTAAAGACTAGAGAAAATGTACAGTGGCGTCCAAAAGAAATGTGAACATGGAAGCACCCACTCATCATGTTAAAACCCTGCACTACCCTCTCAGGCAGCATACATTTTTAAAGGTAAATAAATTCTGCATCATTTGACAGATTAATTAATATTTTGTCCATGTGGAGAGCCGCACAGGATGTGATCATAATTGACCGTTAAAAAAAGGGGTGGGTGGTGGGGGGGGGGGGGGGGTTTACACCTGAAGGCTATTTCGCTTATTAGTGATTAGTGGATAACATTTTAACAAATTTCTCTCATAATTATACAAACATAGTAAGGAGTCTTAACATCCGCAATCAAATTTGAGAAAAAAGTTTCGTTTCCATGGCTACGCGGCCATATTGGATCTTATTGACATGTTTTAAATAATGAATACCTTACTTATTTTGATGGATAAAGATTTTTAATTTTTTTTTGCATGCTTGTTAACAAACATTAATTAGGTCTACCAATTTGTCAGTTGAATTTTCCCTTAACTTTTTAATGATTTTTTTTTCTGAGGTAATCCATATTCAAGTTTGAAAAAAAAATCCGTGAAAAACCGCACTCCAGCTACATCAACAAAAATAAATTCCATATAATAGGCCTATATCAAAAATCCAACAGACACATTTTTAGTATTACATCTTTCCTTCATTCTGTAAAGATCTCATGAACGTGTGATAAAAAACTGTAGAATTATTTTTTTAAAGTACCGTATATAGAAAAACCGCGTTTTGAGAAAACGTGCGATAAAGAAAAGTATAAGATTGACCTTATGACGAGATTGTGGTGACAAGACAAACATGTCCGTTATGGGAAGAAATAAAGCTTTCATGGGTTATAATGCTAGAAATATACTGACGGTCATTAAAAACGCACCACTTACAAAACAATTCAAGTAGTGATGATGTGTTTATTTTTTTAAACAGATTGCATACCATTGCATTCTATGGCCATTGTGTGAACATTCACAGCTGAAATGTCATGAAAAGGTCAAATGGCACCGCGAGCACAAAAATATGAAGTAACAAAAGTAATTTTTCAAAAATCAGAGCAGTACATTGAGTTTTTTACACCTGCTTTAGTATTGTGTATGTCATCCATTGTCCTGAATACAATGTTCAGGATCTTCTCGTGGAATTGACAAGAGTCTGAAAGAACACCTTTGGAATCTGTACCCACTCATTTGTCAAAGAACACCTATCAGCTCTTGGAGATTGTAAAGAGGTCTTCCACGGGACAAACGGCTGCCAAGCTCGTCCCACACATGCTCAGTTGGTGTCAGGTCAGGAGACAGTGATGGCCAAGGCAGAACATCGATGTTGTTTGCCTGCAGAAAAGCAGTGGTGGCTTGAGCGGTGGGCGGGGGGGCGTTGTCGTGTTGGAATAACTGCAGCTCTGGGTGTTGACCAAATAACGGCACGACGTGGTTCTTTAAAACCTGCTGGTACGTGGTGACATTCACAGACTGGTCGAAGAAGCACAGTGGTGTGCGATAATCGTGGCTGAACGCTCCCCATACCATGACGCTGCCTCCTCCCCATCTATCGACCTCCAGCATGCATAGCGCTTGCAGGGGCGTCTCCAGACCCTTCTTCTCCCGTCAGCATGCGACTCTCGTCAACTGTAAATGCTGCCTGGCCTATTGCAAACGTTGTTGACAGTGCCTCTGTGTCAGGACAGGACCAACGTACGGGCGTATGGCTGCAAGTCCTGCTTCCCGCAAACGGTGTCGCACGGTCCATTCAGATACTGGTGCACGCCGACCAACCACTTGACGACCTGTTTCCGGTGCTGGCAGGAAACGGTCACGAAGATGACGTTGGCAAATGTAACGGTCTTGCGCTGGTGATATAACTCTTGGTTGGCCGCTCCGTCGTCGATCTGCTGTAGATTCAGTAGCTGCATTTTGTTGAGACAACTGGATTACAGTCGAGTGGCTACAGTTCATGCGCCTGGCAACTTGCCGTGCTGCCATTCCGACATGGAGCATTCCAATTGCCTTTTCACGTTCTTGCATGGAAAGTCGCGGCATTATTTACGCAGAAAAAATCCGTCGCACAGAGTAAAGAATGTCAGTTTTTGTTATGGGCGAATATAATCTCTCCTTAAAAGCCAAAAAATCTGTCTCGCTGAACAAATTTTAGGTTTGAGGTCGACATATCGGAATTTTGCATGTTGCACGTGCGCATTGACAGTTTTAAACTGGGAACTTCAAATTTTGTGCGATCGGTAAACCTCTGTTGCCCGTGAACTTTTGTCAACCTCAATTGATGTCACTAGATAGATTTTAGTCCAAAATGTGCTCAATCCAAAATGGTGCGTTTTTAATGACCGTCAGTATAGTTGTAAGTGAGGATGAAGAAACTGAATATATCTATAACTCAAAATCCATAATTGTCAGCCGAATCGGGGCATTTGGGGTGTAGCCCCCCACCCCTTCCCCATAAAAAATCAGACTAGGTAAAATTGTGCGTAAACAAACAAACGTAATAGTGTGTTTACGCGTGCACTGAGGTGCTTCAATATTAATAAAATAATATACTTTGCGTGTCAAATGAATGGAGAAATTTGTCTCTGCAATAAACAATATTATTATCTTATTACGATAGTTTCAGACAGATCTCGGAACAGATCAGTTACAAATCAAACTTGTACCTAACATTAAATGTGCTTATTATTATTTTGTTTGAGAGTCATTGGTTTTGTGTAGAGCACAAACCCTTCGAGTACGGACTCTATTAAATTTTGGACTTCATTTTCTGTCAGTTCATCCGTAATGTCACGGAGAGTTGCAAGCAAAGGGTCTGAAATGGGAACAAAGTCGCTTTTCTTCAGCTGCTGTTTCATGGGGCTTCGCACACTTGTATGATTCTTATCGGGGCTATTTACTGTCTAACGTTGGCATAATATTGTTTTCCAAGAATGTCTAGTGGCATTAGCCCTAAGAGAAAGTTCTTTGTCATGCATGCCACCAAGACGAAAATGAGGGCAAGACATGACGTTCCAGCACTTGCGCGGTGTAGTCCACGAAACCAAGCCGTCTGGTGATTATCACGAGGGTGGTTTACATTCATTCCACCCCAGATAACCCCACATCTTGGCAGTTTCGTTGCCTCTGTTGATCACTGACAGATGATTGTGTCCAAAATCTAACTGACACAGTCCATGTGCATAAAAAGGTTTGGTGCTCTATACAAAAACAATGGCTCCTAAATAAAATACTACTGGGCACATATTATCAGGTTTTGTGTGTTTTGTTTTGTTTTTGTTTAGTTTTTTGTTGTTGGTTTTTTTATGACTGCTCTGTTTTTCAAATAGTTTTAAAACATCATGAAGAGCTGCTGTTCATCGCAGAGACAATAATATTCTCGATTCATTTTATTTTATATTCGATACAGCTCCATTCCACCAATTTTGATGCACCCCAATACAGGTGCTAACACACTTTTACGGGTTTTTTTATTTCGCACAATTTGATGACCATATTCTCGGGCTACTCTCGACATAGATAAAATTATAAAATATTAATGTGTCAGCTCAGATGATGCAGAATTTATGGCATGCTGCGTGAATGGGTAGTGCAAAACGTTTAACACGATGATCGGGTGGTTACATTTGAAAGTTTCTTTTGGACGCCACTGTATAACATCATGCTGTAAGTTGTAGAGCTGCCTCAACACAGGGATGTGTGACTTGTTCAGTGCCTCGATCTTGTGATAATAATATGGCCAGTGCTCACTTTGGTCACATTTACGAAGATAACATTTTCGTACCACCCACCTACTCGTATTTTCAAGCGGGCATCAAAACATATTTATCACAGATCGAGTGATTCTCACCGCTAACAATTACCAACTCGCACGCTATAACTTATAAGTGGGTGACATAGAAAATGACAATGACAATCGTTATTTATCTCGCAGGGAGAAATGTGTTTTGGTCGTTAACAATGGCAGTAGATGTTACATATGCTAGGTGCACTGTTGCATACGCACAAGACAGGACGTTATTAAATACATGTCTCATGCGCTGAAACAACCCGCTCCGTAATACTTTCTCTCTCTCTCTCACTCACTCTCTCTCTCTCTCTCTCTCTCTCTCTCTCTCTCTCTCTCTCTCTCTCTCCCTCTTTCTCTCTGTTTCATTTGTATCACCGTGTGTTGAGTAACCTCAATACAGTTGATACGAATGAATTTCTATATTTGTCTGTTCTTGCTTTTCTTTTTTGGAAATGTATCGTATACTGCGGTAGATAATTGAAATTCCGGTGTCAGTAGGTGGCTATGGTCACGTAGCATTATTTCCGCTTTTTTTAACACATTAGTTTTGTGCAGATATTCAAAGTTACTAATGTGGTCTCTACCAATTGCTCTTGATGCATTTCTGATCAACTTGTTTATTTTTATGATGTGTTGCCTTCCCAAATTGCTACCATAACATGTGATACCAACTAGCCTGGGCAGGCATGGGTCTATCTAGTAGTAAGCTAAGCACAGTTTGGTTTGGTTCTGTCGTCAAGGCTGGCCAGATTGTCCTCCGAGGGGGGGGGGGGGGGGAAGGGGGGCAAAAGCTACCATCGTGACGTAAACCGAACGAAACTGTTGATGACCTTGAAAAGAACAAACGTGTTCGTTTTCAAGGCCACGAGTTTGGCGCTCGGTTTGAGGCAGCGGTCTGTTTGTTGTAATGTGCACTGAATGCCCATTGGCTAAATCGGTTCGGTTTGGTAGAAGGGGCTAGCCAGAAAGATTACGGGTGAAAAGCAACCATCGTGGCACAAACCGAAGGAAGCTGACGGTGACCCTAAGAAAAACCAAACGCCTAAAAATGTTTGTTTTCAAGGCCGTGAGTTGGGCGATCGGTTTGTGTTGAGTACCGATCCTCCAATGGGCACTGGGTAGAACCGAACAGAACAGAACCATTCCTCCTATGAGCACCACATACAAGTGGCCAAAAACCCAGCGTCAACGACGTATAATCCCTCACCTGTCCCTGCCGGATGGGTCTCTCATATCCCAGAAGCATCAACATGGCGATCATGGTGTTTTTCACGGCTACCGGCGGCTTCATCATTTGCTTAAGCACCTGTGCACTTACAGTCATGTCTCTGTCTCTGGGCATGTTACTTGTCCTAGAAGGTCTGGGACGGTAAAAATAATAATAATGATAATAATAATAATAATAATAATAATAATAATAATAATAATAATAATAATAATAATAATGAATGATAATGTTAAGAAGAAGAAGAACAACAACAACAGCAACAACAACAACAACAACAACAACAACAACAACAACAACAACAACAACAACAACAACAACAGTTAAAATATCACCGAATCTAAACAATCATTAATTACGCAGATGAATATTAGAGCCAACAAAAAAGGAACAATGATAGAAGAGAAAATTTGAAGTCATAACGATCTGAACATAATTATAATCATTTGACGTTGGTAACATATTACATGTACACGTATACATAATTGTATCACTACACACTTCATACAGTATATCAATATCGTATGGGTTTTTTTTGTACCGTTTTGCGTAAAGAATAGACGTTCGCTTTCTCTCCGATATTGAACGATGTAGTATAAAATACACAACAAAGAAGTAAATAATGGCTCCAGTAGCTATAAAAGGTACTTTTTCTCTGTTTCTTCCAAGTTCAATCTATCAGAAGTAAACAACAATGTATCATCATATTTACCATGACTCTTGCATCCAAGAAAACTGTATGCGTCTTTAAAGCGTTATTTCACAATTTAGAAAGTTTATTAAGAATGTTATTCGAATTTCGCAACCGAGTCCGAGGGAGATAAAAATAGAACCTAAAAGCTTTGGACGGAGCTGTCGCAGTCCAGTACTGAAAGAGATCTGGAGCCACAGACGTAGAGAGAGGGACAGATGGTGCAGTGGTCATAGAGAAGAAGAAGAACAAGAACAGGAAGATCGCGTAGAAGAAAAAAACAGCAGCTGCAACAACAACAACAAAAACATTATATATAACAACAACATAAACAGCTACTAGAAGAACAGACTAACATGTAAGTTCAACTTTGTGTCTGAGCATAGAGAAGCACGCTGAAACAATGACGGCCGTACTGAGGAGAGGTAGGCAGAAACTACAGAAGGAACGAGAAGAAGTAGGACCAGCCAATTGCACCCACCACCCACCAGCAACAACAACAACAACAATAACAAAATAAGAACAAAATGCTTTTTTAAAAGTTTTAGTAAGAGTTTTGCGACACTTACAACACAATTGCGTCTTATAAGGGTCGAAGAGTAGTGGAGTTACAAGACAGTAATAAACACATTTAAAAGAAGACAGGTAGTTGGGGACTATATAATAATATGCTCATGTTTGAATTGGAACTAAAAAAGGAGCAAACCATACCAGAGCACCCGCCAACCACCCACACGTGTGTTTTTAGTCTCAATTCTGTGGAGTTTACCCAGATAATGACTGCAGGACTTATGGCCAGGGTAGAAATCCATTGTTTTGACGGTGTGTGTGTGTGTGTGTGTGTGGGTGGAGGGGGGGGGGAGTG